AAAGAACTGAGAGCTGCTGGGACTCACAGTCAGACGAGCTGTGAGAGAATTTATATTTTTGAACAAAAACATAAAGTAAGTAAAGTAATAAGTAAAATTTTATTCATATAGCACCTTTCAAGATAAAATCATAAAGTGCTTCACAGACGCTAAAACATAAAAACAAAAATCAACCAAAAGCAAGTTTTAAAAGATGAGTTTTTAGCTGTTTTTTAAAAGCGATGACCGAGTCCACAGATCTCAAGCTCAGAGAACGTTCCACAGTCTGGCACTGTAATATATAAATAATTATTCCTTAACAAAGATTCTATTTGTTAAAAAAACAAACTATACGTTGGTAGTTTACCAACACAACAAAATCTGCCAATTGTAGATTTTGTTGTGTTGATGTAGCTCTAGTTCAGCTCAGTTCAATCCGTCTGAAACATGCCATTTATTAAAGCTGTTTTGACCTCCATAGCAGACACATATGGGTGTAATCTGTCTCCATTCTAGCTCTAGTTTCGGTCCTTATTGCTCAGCTTGTGTTGGTTAGTTTGTCACAGAATAAATTCACTAACCTTGGTTTGTTGTGTGGCAAAGCAGAAACAATGGAACTGATGAGAAAACAAAACAATTCGTCATCTTTTAGTATTTTTTATTTATTTTTTTTGCTTTAAACACCAAATCTCATTTTGTATGAGGAGTGTGCTTTGGGTGAATATGTGAAAATGCCCTTTGACACTTCTCACTGCAGTCTGCATCACTGAATGGAAAGACTCAACTTTTAATTAATTCAATCAAGTTAAACTTTAAACCTCTAAAATTAACAGAAAAAGGCTGGATTAAAACACCTTAGTTGGTCACATGTACGTCTCTGTGGATTATTAAACCAAGTAAGTAATGAAAAGTAAATATATTTTGCTTTATCTCAGTGCCACTCTTTACTAGGTTTACTTCAAGAAACACATTAACATTTAAAGGCAGCACGTGTTACTTACGGAGCAGCCACAGAAGAGCTGTTTGTCCCATCGTGCCTCACAGAGGTGTGAGATTGTTGCTGTTCCACTGCAGCACTTAAACCCTCCTCCTTCCTCTCAGTAGCACCATTTAGGGGGTCTGTGGTTTCTCTGCAGTAGTTGTAGAGGAAAAGGTCTCTAACATTTTCGTTTTAAGCTGAGATATGACTCATGAGGTGTGTTAGAGCAATGAACAAAAAAGAATGAAAATACCAACAGGGTGGCTCACCTGATTTTTTTTTTTTAAAATAGAAAAACGATTTAAAGAAAAGCATCTAATAAATGCTCTATCAAATTAAAATCCGATTTTAAACCTTAAAATGTTTCTTATGGAGAGAGAGGGAGGCTGATGTTTTCAAAGCTGTTCAGAGTTTCAGAGTTTTAAAGAAGTGTAAAGATGATGCATTTTTTTAACATCGTGAATGCATCTTAGCTGTTTTGACCTTACCTGTATGCAGAGGGAAAACAAACTCTAAGAGCAGTTACATAAAACTTGTTTATTTTCATTTCATTTCATTGTTTTTGCCTGTCAAGAAGTAGATTTTGGTACTTGGGCTTTCTTAATTATATGACCCCCTTTTAATTGCACTAAGAAATATGGTAATTGCCAAATTGCCGAGTCTGTGAGTGTTGAAGTACTGACTTTACAGTGGTCCTGGTTAAGGGTGTAGATTTGGTTTTGGCATTGGCAGGGACGGATGATGATTCAACCACCAAACCCCACCCTGTTTCTTTTTTTTCCTTTTTTGTCTTTGTTTGTTGATAAAAAAGAAGAAATATACTTGCCTACATATGCTATTCTACGTGCTTTTAAACTATTTAAAATTACAATTCATAGTTTTATATGTGAATTATTAAGTATTTTAGGCTTTAGTTTACTTCAGCCATATTTCATATAAATCAGGTATCATACAAACATAAAAATAGCTTCAAATACAGTCATGACAATAAAAGAATATGACTTTAAGGACTTAACA